CTGTTATGAAATAATTTCTTAAAACTGTTTTTTTTATAGTCACAGTCTTAAAAGTAGTTAAGATTTAACATATGAATCTTAAGACTAAAGATATGGTTCCATAAGATAGAGTGATCTAATATATAGCAAACATATCAGAAGGAAAATGTCCTGCTCTATCCTCTTCAGCACTTCACCACTCCCTTCCCTAGCTCTGGTGTTTTTGCATACCCCTGTAAAATCGTTTAGCTCACAAAAATGGTAGAGCACTATAATGCTGAACCTCCTACTCCGGTAAAATGGCCCCCCTCCTCTGAAACATTGCATCACTTTCTGTCATTTTGATTAGCACAGTTGGCTCAGTTAAGATTGGGATGAACCCCTGATCTGGCAGAAGGAGCAAGGCAGGAACATGCAGCCATGTCTCAAGGAAGACCTTGGCTGGCTGGGTGGCAACAATCCATTACATTAAGTCAGCTGTCCAGGGAAGGGCAGACTTGAGAATACTTGTTACTGGCTTAGCTTGTAAGTATAGCCTAGCATTTTACAGGTTCAACCCTGGAGCATACTCTAGGCAGATATACAACAGACTTTTAGAGCTGCTTCTGATCAAACAGTATAAGAAAGTGTTATCCAATTATTTACTTGCTGCAACATCTCTTTAGTGCATTAAATAAGTTTTGTATTTATACTGTCAGCTCGAATATGTTAAATAGCTGCATAGTAGCATTTGGAAATTATCCTATAGTGATTAGTGAGCTTGATTTGTCAAAAAAGTCAATTTCTAATAGGATGTATATTTAATATATAAGTGTTTTCCATAGATTCCTCACTTATAATACATATATAGTAATGATAATGGAAACCAGTAATCATTTTAATTATAATTTCTATATTTGTGTGCATTAGTATCTATTTTGTTTAAGCCACATTCAGCCATAGCACAACTTCATTTGTTGCTGATACCTGTTGCCAGGTGTTGTGTTTTCCCTAGTGTGCATGTGTCAGAAAGAGTTCCTAGATTTGTTGTAGGACTCTTTTGTGGTTTAGCTCGGCAAGCAGCCAAACACCACGCATCTGCTTGCTCATTCCCCCCCTCCCCAGTGGGGTGGGAGAGAGAATCGGAA